TTCCTTCTACCATGCACCCAGGAGACCCCGTGACCCCCACCCCTGCACCCTCCCTACCCTTCTCTCCTTCTCACTCTATTCCATCCTCCTCCGCCTCCTCCTCCTCCAAGGACCCACCATCCCTACTTTCTGCTCTCCTGAAACTCGTCCAGCCTGTTCATCCCGGTCCTCTTGCCTTTGCCCCCTCATGCACTGACACCCCTCCCATCCTTTGGGACCCTCCCGCTGTTCACACAGAGTTACCTCCTCCTCCCGAAGTCCCAGCCCCCTCTACCTCGTTACCCCTCCCTCCCACGGCCGATTTGCCGTCCCTAATCTCTGCCCTCACCGCCCTGACCCAACCCCCTGTTACCACCTCTCCAACCCCTTCTCCAGTGTTACCTCCTCCTCCCGAAGTCCCGGCCCCCTCTACCTCGTTGCCTACTCCTCCACCGATTGGTTTGCCGTCCCATGCCTCCGCCCACGTTGCTCTGCCACAGCCCCTTGTTCCAATCCCTCCAACCCCTTCCCCGGAAACCCTGGACGCATCCATGACTAATGACCTGTCTACCTCGATATCCGCCCTTTTCACTGCTGTCACTTCCCTGGTTAACTCCGCGATCCCTGCACTGCCTCCCACTGATATACCTCCTCCTCCTCCTCCTCCCCCCGAACCTTCGACCCCTCCCTTGTCTCCCGCTAACCTCCCCGAGCCTTCCGATCCAATCTCTGCTCTTGCTCATGTCCTAAACACCCACCTCTCACGCCCAGCCCCGCCGGCCCCCATGATGGCCCCTTCCACGGCTTTAGTTCCCTGTGTCCCTTCCGCCAGCACTAGTTACCCAATCATGGTGGTTGGGTCCGAGGTGTCTGCGACTTCGGACCAGCCCTATGCGATGGGTGCCTCCCCCCAAGCCTCGGGCTTCCACCCTACTACCTCTCCTATTACCGCCCTCCCAGTTGCCCCCGCTACAGCTACCCCTGAGGCTACTCTCCACCGTGGTCCGGTGATGCCCGAGGAGGTCGTTGTGGTGGACCAGAGCTCACCCCTCCTGGGGGGGAACGGGCTTCCCCAACGACACTCCGTTCCCCAAGGGTATACTCAGATTAGTCATGGTGCGGATGGTGCACCACCTATGTATGTTACTTTTAACCCTTCCCAAGCTGCTACCCTGGTGACCTCACTCCCTGATCCAGAGAAACACCCCATGCCCTTATTCCGCAGGATGGCTCAGATCCGTAAGACATATTCCGCTGCTTGGCGGGATCTTATTAGTTTATGTGAAATTAAGGCTGGAGATGCATACTGGCCAATCATGGAACGGAGCTTTAATGACGCTCCACTTACTTCTGATACTGATTTTCGTTCTGGAGAAATTTTCTGTGAACAACTTCGCGCATGGGCGCAGGATAAACTAGCTGACCAGGCTACTTGCATTAATGACATTATACAGGACAAACTTGAGACTGTTGAAAAGTACCACTCTAGGTTGACTCAGACTTTCTCGGACTTAGGGTTCAGCACTTATAACAAGGCACACACCCAGACGCTATCTGCAGCTTTTGTGGCAGGACTGAGAGAACACATTCGTAAGGGGTTGATTTTAGCTCGCCCTGAGTATAGAATTATTCCACTAGACACCCTTTTGTTGGTAGCCAAGGGCTTAGAATCTGTTTTACAACCCACACAGCGTAGGGCTAGTCCGCTGATGTACACCACCTCCACACCATTTGCTGGTTCTAACCAAGTTCCTCAGATGTTCCCCCAACAGTACACTCAATCACCCCAGACACTGCCTGCACCAATCCCCTTCCCCCGGGACCGGACTATCACGACAATCCGGACCTGTTTTAATTGTAATCAGCCAGGCCACTTTAGAAGAGATTGCCCACAGCCTAGAGTGTTCCGCCAGCAAACTCCCCGGTACCAAAGTCCCCATGTCACTGGCTACAACTTCCCTTCCCCTGGTTACCTCCCCGCCCTTCCCCATCCGCAATTGCCTCAGCTTCCCCCACTACCTCCTCCTCCTCCTCCTCCTGAATACACTCAAGCCCGGCTCCCTGCATCAGAAGCTTGTGCATATACTTCACCCTCCGCTGAAGGGTATGACAACGATGATTTCCAAGACGGCCAACCCCGTCATACCCTCCGCCCATCCCGTCCCCCCATGCATCCTGCCAACCCTCCTTCCACTTCCCGCCGGTACCAGGGACCAGACCAGGCCCATTTGGATTTATTGCAATAGGTAACCGGCAAGCCTGTGTCAGCAACCCCTGCCATGGCAGTGTCTGCGGGGGATGGGGGAGGCCCTTTAGCTACTGTAGTTCTCCCTGTGGAGGGCCACCCCACCACTTTCTTAGTTGACACAGGTGCAGCCCGTAGTGTCCTTAGGGAACAAGACCTGCCAGACCCTTCCTTCTTATCTGACACTGATGTTTCCTGCGTTGGGGTAGATGGTACACCACGCAGCAACCCCCTTACTAAGCTCCTACACGTAGGTTCACACATCCTCTCCCGATTTGTTGTTTCCTCTACCTGCCCCATTAACCTCCTAGGTGCCGATGTTCTCTCTCGGCTCCAGGCCTCCATTACCTTTACTGCAGACGGGCAGATTGAATTGACAACCCCCTTATCACAAAAGGATACCTCTGTCCTCTGTTCACTCCCCATTTTGTTAAACCTAACTGACAATACAGGGGATGCACGGGTCCCACAAACCCCCAGTGCTCTGGATCGTATCCCTCAAGAACTTTGGTCCACTGGCCCGGATGATATTGGGCGCTTACATGTGCCCCCAGTCTTAGTCCAGCTCCTGCCTGGGGCACTACCTCCCCGCAGGCCACAGTACCCTCTGAAGCCTGCACAAGCTGAAGCCATTACCAGACAAGTTGAAAGTCTCCTTGCCAAAGGTGCCCTCATCAAGTGTACATCTCCATGCAATACTCCACTTTTTCCTGTTAAAAAGAGAACTGTTAAAGGTCAGCCTGACCAGTACCGCATGGTGCAGGATCTCCGTGCTGTGAATGATGTAACCATAAAAGACACTGCAATTGTGCCTAACCCCCACACCCTCTTATCCCAAGTCATAGAAACATAGAAACATAGAATGTGACGGCAGATAAGAACCATTCGGCCCATCTAGTCTGCCCAATTTTCTAAAAACTTTCATTAGTCCCTAGTCTTATCTTATAGTTAGGATAGCCTTATGCCTATCCCATGCCTGCTTAAACTCCTTTACTGTGTTAACCTCTACCACTTCAGCTGGAAGGCTATTCCATGCATCCACTACCCTCTCAGTAAAGTAATACTTCCTGATATTATTTTTAAACCTTTGTCCCTCTAATTTAAGACTATGTCCTCTTGTTGTGGTAGTTTTTCTTCTTTTAAATCCCATCAACTTCCCATCAACTTCAACAATATTCACCGTGGTGGATCTAGCTAATGCCTTCTTCAGTGTCCCCCTTGACCCTACCTGTCGCTTTCTCTTTGCCTTCACCCATGAAGGACAGCAATACACCTGGACTGTTATGCCTCAGGGGGCTCAGAATTCCCCCACACAGTTTGCTCACGCCATGTGCTGGATCCCTGGCAGAAGTCTCATTTGGATGTTGTCCTGCTTCAATATGTTGATGACCTCCTTCTCTGTGCTCCTGATTTGCTCATTGCAGAGCGTTATTCAGAAGATCTCCTATGTTTCCTTGCTGCAGCAGGTTGCAAAGCCTCAAAATCAAAGTTACAATGGTGCCGGCCCTCTGTGGTCTTCTTGGGACATTGCCTTTCCCATGGTACCAAACATTTAACCTCTCAACGTGTACAAGCCATTCTGCATCTTCCATTACCTGCAAATCACCAGACTCTCCATGCTTTTCTGGGTCTTATCACGTACTGCAGGTCCTGGATACCTGAAGCATCAAAGCTCATGCAGCCACTCTATGATGCCCTCAGGAGTGAGCCCTTTCATCTCACAGAAGAAACTATCATCTGTTTCCACACTCTGAAAAGAGCTATTGCTTCTGCACCTGCCTTGGGCCTACCCAACTACCAACTTCCCTTCAATCTGTTTGTCTCTGAAAAATCAGGACATGCTTCCGGAGTCCTTACCCAGAAACATGGATCAAGACAACGCCCTATTGGCTATTTTTCCTGCATGCTTGACCCTGTTGCAAGGGGTAGCCCCTCTTGCCTCCGAGCGGTGTTTGCCGCCAGCGCTCTCCTGGACAAGACCAATGACTTTATTCTTGGCCATCACCTCACAGTGTTGGCCCCTCATGACATTACTGCAATCCTGCAGCAAGTTCGACCTAAACACCTTTCTTCCCAACGTCACCTTCGCCTGCAGACCTCCTTACTCCTACCTGATAATGTGAAACTCCAGAGGTGCCTTTCCCTGAACCCAGCCACTCTTCTGCCACTTCCCAAGGGGGGAATTGTGCATCACTGGTACAGCCTGGATATCAATCCAGAGGTTCGAGCAGATTTACAGTTGCCTGTATTCACACCCCCACATGATGAACAATCAGAGGCCCTACTCCACTGTGTCTTGTGGTTTAGGGACGTACCAAGCCCTGATGTGGACTATGAGGAAGAACTATTTCAGCTCAAAGAAATTCAAATTACCCTGACTGACTTATTTTGGGACTCCACAGGTACCATGCTCATTTTGGTTCACCTTCCAGATAATGTAGCACACCTCTACCACCATTGGGAAACAGCTATCCCACACATATCTCTCACCAGATCCCACGACACCTCATGGGAGAATCTAGGCCCGATGGCCAGAACCTGGAACCAAATGACTCAAGAACAACTGACTTCTACGGGGATAAATAAAAAGACCATTAACTAATGCACAACAGGATACTCCAGGTACCACACAGAGGCCTGTGAGGACCCACCCACCATAGACTGCAACCTCATTGATATCCCCCATGACTGTTTTGAACAAATGAAAATGGAAACTACACACCTACCAACTGTTTATGAAGCTGCATTACTCAACCCAGATCAAACACTATTTGTGGATGGCTCAAGGTTTGCTGATGAACAAGGACAATATCACACTGGATATGCAGTCACCACAGGATGTCAAATATTACAAGCAGCTGCCCTACAACCAACTAAGTCCGCCCAAGAGGCCGAGTTAACAGCCTTGACTGTGGCCTGCAAACTGTCCGAAGGTCTACGCGTCAACATTTATACGGACTCAAGATATGCCCTGGGAGTGGCACACGATTTTGGCTTAATTTGGAAGACCAGAGGATTTCTTACAGCCACCGGTACCCCAGTAAAACATGGGGTAGCCATTGCAGAACTGATGGACGCATTGGAACTTCCAGCAGAAGTGGCAGTATTGAAAGTAAAAGCTCATGGAAGATTAGACACAGAAGAAGCACGTGGCAACAACTTAGCTGATCAGGCAGCCAAAGAGGCAGCACGACAAGGATGGGAAGTGGACAGAAGAGTGGCCACAGATACATTACCCATTTACACTATGCAGACATTGCCTACAGATCTCAGGCTGCTGAAGGAACAACAAGCTGCTGCCACTCCCCAGGAGAAACAAAGTTGGAAGAACAAAGGAGCAATACTCCGTGATGAAGTTTACACCATTAATCTCAAGTTCTGCCTACCTAGAAGTATGTACCCAGCGGTGGTCCAATGGGCCCATGGGCCAGCCCACCTGTCAAAGCTCCTGATGAACTCACTGATTGACAAGTATTTTGAAGCACCAGGCATCACTACCTTAACACAGAATTACTGCAAATCTTGTACCATATGTGCTAAATGCAATCCTGGAAAAGTCATAAAGACTGCACCTAATCATCTAGCCAAGCCACAATACCCCTTCCAAAGGATTCAGATTGACCACATTCAGATGCCAAAGAGCGGACGTTATGAATATGCATTGGTTATAGTGGACATGTTTTCAGGATGGCCAGAGGCCTTCCCAGTGACTAATCTCACCGCGAGGACTACAGCCAAGTACCTTTTGACAGAAATTGTTTGCCGCTACGGGGTTCCAGAAGTAATTGAAAGTGACCAAGGGACCTCCTTCACTGCCTCGCTAACACGGGAAGTCTGGTCAGCACTGGGGGTGACCCTCGCATTCCATACACCATATCACCCACAGAGTAGTGGTAAGGTAGAACGCATGAATGGCACTTTGAAAGCCAGAATGCTCAAAATGTCACAAGAAACTAACATGCCCTGGCCCGAGAGTCTCCCACTAGCGTTATTCAGTGTAAGGTACACTCCCAGAGGAAAATACAGTTTGTCACCTTATGAGATTTTGTTTGGTACCGCACCCAGGTTAGGTTGCTACTTTCCCCAACAGCTTCAGATTCAGTCAGACGCTATGGTAGACTATGTGACTGCCCTTTCACATGCCTTGACCAAGATACATGCCCAAGTGTTTTCTTCTATTCCAGATCCTGAGTCGAATACAGGTACACACAAGCTGCTTCCGGGTGATTGGGTTATGGTTAAGAAGTTCCTCAGAAAACACACCCTAGAACCAAGATTTGATGGTCCTTATCAAGTGCTCCTGATTACAGCAACGTCAGTTAAACTAGCTGGGAAAAGTTCCTGGATACACGCTTCACATTGCAAAAAAGTGCCTGCTCCAGAAGAAGCTGATCCTGTTGAAACATGAATTTATTATGTGTCTTGTGTTTTCTTATGTTGTTGCACTTTGCCTGGGCCCAACAAGTGGCCATAACCAAAGATAATCATGTTTACACTTTCTGGTACAATTCTTCTAATACTGATGTAGCCACATACACCTTTGATTACTGTGACATAGTTACCTGTACATTCCCACAGACACAACATGCAGCCATATACAAAGACATACCTAACAAAAAAGGACCCATACATTTGTGTGACTGGAGGAGCTTGGGGACACCATTGTAGTTCATGGAAAGCTGCCGGGTGGAATACAGGTAGACCATGGGGCTACAGACCTCAGGTTGCACTGGATAGACTTGACAAAGACGAGAAGCCCCTACTTTCTAGAATGACTCTGAGTAAACCCACAGGGTCAACTCCCATTAAACTTACCCTGAATATAGAACACCCTAGTCCAAGGGACGCGGGGGAATATGTGATGGGGATGTACTGGAAGGGAGGTGGCTCACATAATGCACTGGGGACATTTTACCTACAAGACATGCTCACCTCCCCAGACTGGGTAGGGACCACTCACATGGTTGTTAACCCATTAAAACCACATATTAAGACCCTACATGACATGGTAGCTATAGCCAACCCCACCTTTGAAGACACTATGGCAGTGGAGACTGGTTTTTCAGACACTAATTTGTGGCTAGAATGGATGAGGTATAATGCCAACTCACACAATAAGACTAATTGCTACGTGTGTGGAGGAGCCAGGCCCCATCTGGGCACAGTTCCTCTGAACTTACCTCCTGAAGTAGAATCATGTGTTCTGAGTCTTTACACACAGTCCATCACCAACTCCTCAACATGTGAATCATGGAAGAGAATTTACCCGATCACTCATGGACATGTAAAACCACCTGATGGAGTCACCATCTACCCAGGTAATTACACATGTTACACAATATCTAAGAACACCGGTTTGTATCTGGGCAAATTCCCATCAGGATACTGCCCAACCTACCATAATCCACCCATATCACTACTAATGAATCACACAAAGACAATCGGTGATATCTACTGGTTATGTGGTGATAAACAATTGAGGTCCCAATTAACTGGGCAATGGTGGGGGGAGTGTGCCCTAACTAAAGTCATAATGCCTATCCATATCATTCCAGATGGTAACCATAACACGTTAAACCTCACACATGTACACTCTAGAACCAAACGAGAGACCCCTATCCGAGGGAGCTTCGACCCCCATGTGTATATTGATGCCATAGGTGTGCCAAGGGGGATGCCTAACGAATTCAAAGCAAGAGATGAAGTGGCTGCAGGATTTGAATCCCTAATTCCAATGATAACTGCTAACAAAAATGTCAATTGGATTAACTACATTTACTATAATCAACAGCGCTTTGTCAACTACACCAGGGATGCCCTACAGGGCCTGGCAGAGCAGTTACAAGCCACTACCCAAATGACATTCCAGAACAGAATGGCCCTAGACATGATATTAGCTGAGAAAGGGGGCGTATGTAAAATCCTCCCTGAGACCATGACATGCTGCACATACATTCCAGACAACACTGGACCCAATGGTAAGGTGACTATGGCCATAGAAAAGTTAGATAGTCTTGCAGACGAGCTAAAGAAAAATTCAGGAGTCACTGACACTTGGGACAGATGGTTTGGATGGATGAATGGTTGGCAAAGGACCCTCTTCCAGGTGGGGACAGCTGTTCTCATAATGATCGTCATTTTCTTATTTTTGACCTGTTGCATATTCCCCTGCATACAGAAGTACTTACAGAAAGCGGTAGACAAGACTATAGATGGCGTGACCCCTACTTTCATACACCAAGACATCACAGACCTCGAAGATGATACTCCACATACACCCCTTCAATCACATCAGTTCAAATAAACAACTGCTTTCCTGTAGGGACAGTATAGGGAAAGCGTCTGTCTTGGCAGGCGAGTCTCACGTGTGGAGATGTGGTGGACTAGCCACCGCGGGTTACCCACGGAGTGAAGTGTTCGATGCTTGTTAAGACAGATGAGCTGCAGGCAGCTAGGGACATATTAGGGACAGTAGCAGTTGTTATGGTAAATAGCCATTTTAGGGGGGGCTGTTGTGGAAATAAGGTCTACACATATTTCCTAGTTGGTGAAAAATGTCTATTTACTCATTTCACGATATATATATATATAGCTAAGCACACATGTTATAATTAAGATGGCTGCTGGAAGCTTCTAGCTCCTTCCCCCTCCCCCCCCTTTCTCCTTCCTAACATCGACTAACTACCTCGTGCACCAAGATGGCGCCGGGAAACCGTGGGAGACCCTCATGGCCCCGGTGACATCACCCACAGTAGGCAGAGCATTGAAGCAACCACTTAACACCTAACCAATAATTGATGTATTATTCCATGTTATCTCTGACAATGCTTATGATGTAATTTTGCTTTAAAAGGGACTTGCCGTCCCCTCTGAATAAACTTTCCTCAAGTTATTCAACAACCTAGAACCTGTGTCTGGTGTGAATTACTTCAGGGAGCGTGCACGCATTGTTTCATTGATTTGGCCAGGGGCAGATACACAAAGAAATAATCAATACTTTAATTGATTTTTCCACTTCAATGATCATACATTGCATAAGCCTGCCACAATGTCAATGTACCCCATCTTTGGCAGGTCCTACACTAACAGCCTAATGTCTGCTCTTATGAGATTAACCACTTACTTGGGGAAAAAAATTCCATCTGGGGCTCTCTGCAGTACAAGGCTAAATAGGGCCCTAGGATGAGGCACCTGTGACAGAGAGGGGTGCAAAACCAAGGAGTTGGCTAGACTCCCAAATATATATAAAACAATAAAATCTTTCAACATTGAAGTTGCACCCCAATTTATGCATGTTAAGGTGAGTGCAGCCAACCCCCTCTTGTTTTATATATATATATATATATATATATATATATATTTATATACACTGGTAAGCCACAACATTAAAACACTGACAGGTTAAGTGAATAAAATTGATTATATTGTTACAATGCCATCTGCCATATATTAGGCAGCAAGTTAACAGTCAGTTCTTCAATTTCATGTGTTGGAAGCAGGAAAAATGGGCAAGGAAAACCAACTGAGTGTCTTTGACAAGGGTCACATAGTGATGTGTAGACAATCGAGTCATTTCCGAGTCTTGTGGAGTGTTCCCGGTATGCAGTGGTTAGTACCTACCAAAAGTGGTGCAAGGTGCAACCGGTGAACTGGCATCAGGGTCATGGGCGCCCAAGGCTCATTGATGCATGTTGGGAGTGAAAACTAGCGCTTCTGGTCTGATCACACAGAAGAGTTACTGTAGCTCTAATTGCTGAAAAACCTAATGCTGGCCATGACAGAAAGGTGTCAGAACACACACTGCATCTCTATTTGCTGTGCATGGGGCTACATAGCTGCAGACCCGACAGAGTGCCCATGGTGAACCCTTGTCCACCACCAAAAGTGCCATCAATGGGGATATAAACATCAGGACTGGCCATGGAGCAATGAAAGAAGGTTGATTGGTCTGGTGAATCACGTTTTCTTTTAGATCAGGTTAATGGTCAACACAATATTAGAATGGTCAGTGTATGTGTATATATACATACATGTGGGGGGTCCTCTCCACTGGAACCTTCCAGTTTCTGTCTGTCAGTCAACTGTCTAAACTGGTCAAAACTTATTTTTTGTTGTCATTTTTAAGGTTATTGAAAACTGAGCAAGACTGTTAAAAAAATAGCATCACTTCATTGTATATGTATATGGCATCTGAAACCATAGGGATTTAGTATATTCCTGAATCGTAATCCTATCAGGCAGCAGCACTAAGTGCTGCCTAAACCAGGCACATAGTCCACAATCAGGAGGCCTCTATTTTTGGACTATGTAATACAATCTTATCTCATTAACTACATAAATGGTATGTAGTTTTGCTCTCACAACAGTTCCATTCTCTTCAAAATAGCTGTGTGCAGGGAGACAGTGACATGGGACCCTCATTGTTATAGTGAATTGAAAAAAAGAGGCACTGTCAATAGGTTTTATGAGTGTGTGAGTGTGTGTTTGTCCTTTGATACTTTTAACTCCCTTCTTCACCCTGCCATGGCCACCTCCCAAACAACCTTACAGCTGATAGCTTAGTGTGTAATATAACTGACAAGATTAATCGGTTTAGGAATGTATTTTCGCCCTACATCTCTCTCAAACACACTTGGACCTTTCAACCCTCCAGACCCTCCAGGCCAGCTACTGAATAAGAGGTGACTACTCGTCTCCTTTCCTCTCGCCCCACTACTTGTCCGATTAATCCCATTACATCCCACCTTATAAGATCTCTTACCCTTGTCTTGTGCCATACTTAATGCATATCTTCAACTGTTCTCTTTCTTCTGACATTGTCCCTGCTCCCGATAAACATGCTACTGTTTAACATATCTAAAAAAGCCATCTCGACTCTCGTCTTCCCCGTCTAACTACCGTGCCTTATCTCTGCTCCTTTTCTCCTCAAAGCTTCTGGAACGACTTGTCTTTACCAGCCTAGCATGCTTTCTCAACTCAAATTCTTTCCTTAATACTCTTCAGTCTGGCTTTTCCACCCCTATTCTTTTGAGACTGCTCAGGTTGAAGTAACTAATGATTTAATCGCAGCTAAATCCAAAGGCCACGACTGATTCTTTTAGACCTCTCTGCTACCTTTGACACTGTGAAGAGTTTGCAGAAGGAGAGCATGATCCACAGTGTCAAAGGCAGCAGAGGTCTAAAAGAATCAGTATGGAGTCGTGGATCTGTGACACTGTCCTCTCCTAGGTCTTGTCTTATCTTTCCCAACTTTCACTCAGTGTCTCCTTTTCTAATGCCGCCTCCTCCCCTCATCTGGTCTCAGTTGGAATCCTCAATGCTCTATTATTGGTCCCCTTTTGTTTTCTCTTTACACTGCCTCTCTTGGCAAACATAATAATTATTTTGGATTCCTCTACCACCTACACGCCAGTGACACCCAGATATATCTCTTCTACCCTGATCTCTCCCCTACTGTTCTAGTTGCCTCTTTTCCATCTTTGACTGAATGTCCTAAAACTCAATTTCTCTAAATGTGAGCCTCTTATCTTTCCTCCTCTCTCACTCTCCCTGTAAGTCGATGTACCCGCAGCTCTCTATATTGTTGTTACCTTTGATTCAGCTTCACCTTCACGTCCAGTCTGTTGCTAAATTCTGCCAATTCCAGCTAAAAAATATTTCTTTACACAAGATTCTACTAAAAACCTTACTCATGCCATGGTAATTTATTGCATTGATTACTGTAATAATCTCATTATTGGTCTCCCAAGAAGCTGTTCTGCTACAGTCTATAATGAATGCTGCAGCCAGACTGATTGCTTCTCTCCACACCTCTCCCCTCTGTCAATCATTACATTGGTTTCCTGTATTCTAAAGGAGTCAATTCAAAATACTAACCCTTACCTATAAAGCTCTAAATAACTTCAGCCCGTTACATTTCTCTACTTATTCAGGACCTGATTTCTCCAGTCCGCTGCTCGCACCCACACAGCTAACTCGCACTTGCAAGACTTCTCGTTGGGGGTCCTCTCCACTGGAACAGCCTGCATATCCCAATCAGACTCTCCCCTTGTTTTCAATCATATAAGAAGTCCCTTAAAACCTATCTTTTCAGAATGGGCTATGGTAAGGCCTGGACTAGCCATTGGGCACACTGGGCAAATGCCCGGTGGGCCGCGATGTAGACACATCGAAACATAGAAACATATAATGTGACGGCAGATAAGAACCATTTTCCCAATTGCCCAATTTTCTAAATACTTTCATTAGTCCCTAGCCTTATCTTATAGTTAGGATAGCCTTATGCCTATCCCACGCATGCTTAAACTCCTTTACTGTGTTAACCTCTACCACTTCAGCTGGAAGGCTATTCCATGCATCCACTAGCCTCTCAGTAAAGTAATACTTCCTGATATTATTTTTAAACCTTTGCCCCTCTAATTTAAGACTATGTCCTCTTGTTGTGGTAGTTTTTCTTCTTTTAAATATAGTCTCCTCCTTTACTGTGTTGATTCCCTTTATGTATTTAAATGTTTCTATCATATCCCCCCTGTCTCGTCTTTCCTCCAAGCTATACATGTTAAGATCCTTTAACCTTTCCTGGTAAGTCTTATCCTGCAATCCATGAACCAATTTAGTAGCCCTTCTCTGAACTCT